TGCACCCGTACACACACAGAATTTCAAACTCGCCTAATTTTTTTGTCAGCCGAACCCATTTAAACTAAAATATTTACTTCAAACCTCCCTTGAAATTATTAGTAATATTTCAATCTATAACAACACATTCGCATTTTCACAGTTCTCTGATTTTGGTGCCCCTAAGGGACACGATCATGCGGGGGAAGAAAAATTTGATGGGATTTCTCTCCCAAGAAACTTATGTGAAAATGATGTCAATGTTTCTCCAAAGAAAGTTTTATGAAAATAATGTTGATGTTTCTACCAAAAAACTATGCGTTCACTTCAAAAATGTTGAGTTCTTTGCGAGCGAATGCAAAGTTTCTCTGGGAGAAATATTTCACAAACCCACTTTGGGAACATCTACACCTGTCAAGGGAGGTGCAAATCAAAGCAGTTTTTTCAGGAAATCTTTTTTTTTTTTTATATATATATATATATATATATAAAAAAAAATTCATATCCCCAGGGGTTGATCCCCTTGATTCAGAGGATTTACTCCAGTGTTTAAATGCGTTTGTTATATCCCCCAAAATATTTTAGTGCGCATGTTGCCAATTATGTTCCCTGTGACATTGATTTATATTTGGTATCCATGACCCACAGTAAGGTCGGTCCGAGTTTCCAGCATGTTCTGTGTGTAAACGGCTCTCCCGAAACCACCCGCACAGCTCTTCGCTTTGAAGTCCCTGCATCCTGACAGTAGAGTGCCTGTGTGAGGACCGGGACTAAAATGTGTTCATTTTTTTCGGCAGATAGCCCAGCGACCTCCCTCTATGTTCCTAATTAAACTTACGGCTAGTCCCTCAGTTCCTCCACATGCATTGTCGAGTGTTCGTTGCCACCGTGGGTAATCCTTTGAAAAGGGGCTTAAAGATTTTCAAGGGAGTCTTCTTCAAACTAGCCACCATCACCTTATCCGCACTCTCACGGTGATGGGGATAAATGAATTTCTGGAACAGCCTCGGCTCAAGTGTGCACACACACATACGCATGCAGATGTGATTTTCAAACGGAGATCATTACCATAGTGCATTTCACACAATGGATTTATTGAACCAAAGAAAGCTGAGGTAGTGAAAAAACTAGAAGAATGAGTTCATTAAGATCACAAAATGATTAGAGGAAACAAATGCAGATGACCCTTAAACCAAGAGGGAAATTACCAGATGGCCTTTACCCCCCTCAAACCAACAACAGATGATGGCTGATGACACTTTATATTGGGGGGAAAAAACTTGCCAATACAGATACTCAAAGATGAAATCTAATCCAAAACGGCTGCACATGGCCGTGACAACAGGGATTTAAGAAAATATTAAAAGCCCATCAATGTGAAAATGAAAGGCAATTCATGTGAAATCATCAATTCAAGAGTAGCACTTAAAGGACAAGTTCGGGATTTTACAATTAAAGCCCTGTTTTAAGATTGTTTCTGATGAAATAGAATGGACAGATGCTGCTGTCACGAAAATGTTCGTTTTCTGTGGCACCTCTACAATGTTAGCATAGGTGCACAGGAACAATCCTATATAATAAAACGCATAAAACTTTAGTTTACAAAGACGTGAAAACTCACCGAGTGGTCTGGGGTGTTCACTGATATGCTCAGAAACAGAAATGGGGTTGTTTGTTTTGCTTTCTGTAGTTATGCAGTTGCAGTATCGTAGGCTACACTATTCAAGTGGTTTGCTTGCAATTAGCAAAGGTGGATTATCGCCACCAACTGGGCTGGAGTGTCTATTATTCAAGCTCTCACACGGTTGTGAAACGTTCGGAAAAATAGGTCTACAGTTTTACAACGAATGGTAAAACACCTGTTATGGTGTATTTTGCAGCGATTTTTGTGTGAGCATATCAGTGAACACACCAGACCACTCGGTGAGTTTCACGTCTTTGTAAACTAAAGTTTTATGAAGGATTGTTCCTGTGCACCTATGCTACCATTGTGAAGGTGGGGTGGTGCTACCACAAGCTGAAAACTCTCGGGACAGCAGCATCTGTCTAAAAAACAATCTTAACCATTCTGTTTCATCAGAAATGATCTTAAAACAGGGCTTTAACTTGCCCTTTAAGATATGGAAGATGTTTTCACAAATAATACACTAAAAATTAATTCATATGGGACTGAGCAAAATGTCTCAAACAAAAAAACTAGGGCTGTCAAACGATTATTCGCGATTAATCGCATCCAAAATAAAAGTTTGTGTTTACATAATATATGTGGGAGCACTGTGTAATTATTTTGTATATATAAATACACACACATGCATGTATATTTAAGAAATCTTTTTATTTATATATCAAATATTTATATTTATATATAAATCTATATTCAGTATATAGATGAAAATATTTCTTAAATATATACAAGCATGTGTGTGTATTTATATATATATATATATATATATATATATATATATATATATATAAAATAATTATACACAGTGCACCCACATATATTATGTAAACACAAACTTTTATTTTGGATGTGATTAATCACGATTAATCATTCGACAGCCCTAAATAAAACAAACAATATTATCGATATTTAAAGCCACTTTTTTCACAAGTTTTTTTTTTTTCAATGCTTTTAACCGCCACAAAAATATAATGTTTTTGAATTATCTTTATTTTATTTTTTGATGTATAAGAGATTATAAAATTTGGAGATTGGATGTTTAATTGGGCGTGCTTATTTTTCCTATTTTGTAGGATTTTTTTGTTTTTTTATGTCTGATTCTGTTGCATGCATTGCATTTTATTTCCGCACAAATTTCATTTTAGGAAATGATTGCAATGCAGTATGTGTACAAGCCCAGAATAGAGATCGGCCAAAAAAACCAAAAAAAAAAAAACGTGTTCTGTCGACCAGTGCATCTCTCTATGAAATATTGATAAACACTGTGTAAAATGCACAGATGTTATTATGAAGAAGACTGAAACAGAAGGAGCCATGTAAAGAGCTGTTAGAACATGGCTCTTCAACGAGATCTATTAATCGCATTCATGAGAATGAAACTCAGGCAGGAGAACAGAGTCCTAAACAGCCTGTTCTATTAGAGCACAACAAGACAGGAGCACAACTCCAGATGTCTCGCGCTCTCAAAGGGACAGAGATATGGACAGAGTAAATGAGTGGGAGAGAGGGAGGAGAAGAAAGAGACTGAAATCACAGATGGTTTCGAGGCCCGCTGGGATAAGGAATTTTCGATGAGTAGTTTTCTTTAGACAAAACTAGAAGTGAGCCACACACACACGGAAGGCTTTATGAAGATCATCAAGGGCATCAGTGTCTCTCTCATGATAGTGTCATTACGGCCATAGATCAGGTGTAGGGGCATCTGTGTGACCAGATGATTTGACTGGTCTGGTAGGCTTGTTTATTATACATGTGAATATAAAAGGATACATACATAAAATAATCATCATTTCTGAGAATGCTCAGATGTTATAATCATGTGCTCTAGTCGCAGTCTTCCATATGAAATATAAAACATGTTTCTCTGACCTGCCTGCATTATGTATTAGAAGCAAGAAACTGTGGATTGATTTTCTATGTATTGGGTTTCAAATTGATTCTTAGATTTATAATACGGTGCATGTAATACAAGCCCCAAAGGACCTGCAAAGCATTTTATTTCTTGCCATATGGTGTTTATGGGACATGAAATACTCTTGGGAAGTTGATATCTACTGCAGAGTGATACTACATATACTTATTTTTTTTATCTATAATTAATTGTTATGCATCATAACTGAGACTGCATATGCATATTTGTTTATTAAATAAATGTAGTTGTCACATTGCAGGCCATGAAAAATAAACTTAAAGGTGTTTTAAATTGTATTCATCACGTGGCTCTCAGTTATACTTAATTATGGCTTGATATTGCTATTTTGCTATCTGCAAAGAAAAGTCAAAGGATATAGTGGCAATGAAACATGCCTTAATGGACACAGATGTGGGTGTTTAACAAGTAGACCAGGGGTAACCTATAGCAGTCTGTGGCTGGGCAGGAAACAGAAGGAGAACAAATCTCCGGAGACCATCACCACACAAAAGCACTTAAGAAAAGATATGAACTAAATGCCCAAGAAAAGTGTGTCAGAGGCTGTCTGAAAACTGGAGAAACGCTCCTGACCTACTTACAAGAGAAGGATGAAGAGATGTGTGCACATACACAGAGACGGCTCTTTCTACGGTTGCATGAGAATCTGGGGTCCACTTCATGTGGAACATGATTATGTAGAAGAGATAGGAAAAGTTATTTATTTAGGAAAAACATATTCTTAAAGGGATAGTTCACTTTGAAATTCATTTTTGATATGGTTTAGCTTATAGGGCATCCAAGATCTTTGTTTCCACAGTATTTTCAGTATTTTTATTTTTCGGTCAAACCGTTGTTGTCTATCAGTCATATAATGCAGGTTTAGGGGGTCATCCCACGGTTCACCTCAAAGAGCATGCACAGAAAAGTCAAAATTATACATGATTTAATGACTCGTAAATGTATGTTTTTTGAGGTGAACCAAGGGAGGACCCTAAACCTGCATTATATGACCGATAGACAACAACGGTTTGACCGAAAAATATCAAAATTGAAAAGACTGTGGAAACAAAGACACCTACATCTTGGATGCCCTTGAGGTAAGCTTCAAAGTGAACTATCCCTTTAATTAATTTGCCATTTATATCATATATATCTAGACTAGTATCTAAATAAATTTTCCACATCATATAGCCTACTTTTTATGTAATTAAAATGTGTGAAACAATTAAACTATATATGAATTAGTTTGATATAAACAATTTATTTTATGAAAATTATATTTGAGGAAAAACATATTTAAAGCAAAATATAAACAATCGATGATATCAAAAGTACAACAAATTTCTCCTGTTTTAGTTGCCCCATGTATCCAGTTTATAAAAAGTGGAATAAAAAAAATAAACCTGTCTCGGATAATGAATATACCGTCCGGAAAACAGCCTGCGTTGCAAGAACACCCGGCCGCATCCTCCATGTATGACCCACATGCCCGAGAGAGCTGAATTAGCAACATCAGCTAATGATCAGCAACCTTTGGTTTCCATCCTGCTGTAACATACAGTGAAATGTATTAGAGCAGTAAAAGCACATATAATGCATGTTTGTGTGTGCCCAGCCTCATGCTGAGCTAAGCTCCCTAGGTGGGACGTTTACCCCGGGGACTTCATGTTCAACTAATAGCCTCCGCGCCAGAAGGGGTCACTCTGAGCCTATCAATAACCTGTTCTGAGATGTCTTTACTAGCTGAATTGTTCCCCCCCCCCACCCATCCCCCCTCTCTCTTTATCCTGAATCTGCTGTTTAAGGCAGCTAGTGCCTTTGGAACCTGCTGGACGGCAATTTGCATTTTGAACACTTCATTCTTTGCTTCGGGTAACCACATGTTCGCCTGTATCTATCTCCAAAAAATGTCTGTCCCTCCTCTGTAATGGGATGGCAAGCATGCGATAACGCAGATGGAATTCTACGCTTGTGTATTAAACTGGAACTGAATGAAACATGAATGAAATGAACTGAATTTCAAAGGAGTTTGTCTCAGCAGATGAGTAATAGCAACTTCTAAAAAAAGAGAAAACGGTCTCAGAGGAACAACACGCTGAGATGATAGTTCTGGAAAGCTTATGGAAATGTATCTTTGCCCTTTCCCCGGGCCCCGTTCATGAAACATTAATGTCAGTATGTAGATTCACCACCTGCCTCTCCTGACTCACTTCATTAGGGAAGTGTAGCATTGCACCGAATTCAGCATGGCTATGCGAGTTGCTGCATTTCGAGAAGGAAAGGCATTGAGCCACCTGAAGATGTACAGTACTTCATGACCTGATTTGTATGTGCTGTGAAAGCAAAGACTGAGGAGTTGCCCTATAATCCGAAATGCCCGAAATCAGAGCATGCAAAAAGCTTTTTTCAAAAAGACAATTTTATCATCTATAAAGTTCTACACAGACATCCGTCTTGCATATTTGCTAACTTAACATTTCCTTCATCAGGGAAAGGGGAAATGTTGGGGAAAGTATGCAGATTATGTGCATTTTTGGAACAGATATTGGAAAGTTTAATTTGCCCATGTTATGACCCTATTTCCAAAAAGGCACTTTATTATTTACACAATGATAAGAGAATTATCAGGAAGGATCATAAAAGGATGGAAACAGTGAAGTATCAAGAGTTAGTTTGCATGAAAGTGACTAGAAGGTACAGTAGTTTTGATATTTTCGATATATGTCATTCTTTTGGCTGAAATGTAATTTTATCTAACACACTGTAAAAAAAAATCTTTTCATAATTAGTAATCACAACATTTTTTCTTTTGTCAAATCAACTTATATAATTTATTTAGTCCTCCTTCTTTGTATTAACTCACATTTTCCAGTTCAATGAACTTAAAATTTTTAGGCAACCAGGTTACTTACTTTTTTAAGTTAAACCAACAATATTTTTTTACAGTGCATGATGTAGTGAAAGTGACACATCAGCTGAACATCAAAATATGACAGAATTCATCAAATTCATGACTAAAACTTGCTGAAGTTTCTGATGTTGTTTTTATCATTAAATACTGCATGATGTCACTTCCAGGAGGATGATGTCATAGAGGAATATTCTTTTAGGGATTTTACAGAATACTGGAAATTGAGGGGGGAAAAGTATAAATTGATTACCAAATAGAACTTTAAAAAAGTTTGGAACGTTTTCTTTAGAAATCAGATTTTTTTTAATGTTAGAAGTAAAGAAATGTGGCAAAGCTTTGAAATTATTTCAAATTCACTCAATGTTAATTGTGATAAATCAAAATAAGTCCATATTTACTAATTGTGATTCTTCTATAAAGTGGGGTGGGTTGTGCCAGTTTTTACTCAAAGTGACTTTAAAGCGAGGTCATGTAATGCCTTTAACTTAAGGATGTATATATTTCAGGATGGGGTGCATCCCATTTAACAGCATAGTGCAAACTCAAAACTGAAATCATAAATTAAACAAATGGCAGGTAAGTCTATAAGTCAAACATTGATGCATTGATCCATCTCCTCACTTCTCCAGACTATCCCCTGTGAGTATGTAGGTCTAGGTGGTCTGGATCTGGCCTACTACTTAACATCCCACTTGTCAATGCTACAGGGGAATATAAACTTCTACTCCTTTCTGGCGGAACCACCAAGTTTTTGGGGTGTGGGTAGTTTCTTGAGCACATAACCTCTAGGGATGACTCCTTCATCATTTTCTTTAAATATAAAGATGGGCTTTCCATCCACAGACTTCTAACAACTTTGCGCTGATGTCTGCACCCTCAAACTTCTCCACCAATCCAACGTTGTTATAAGATTTGGTTTTACCAGCAAAGCTCACAATGACCAAGAAACCAGCAGACAGATCCTTGTCATAACCACCATCATCATTCATGACATCTGGGGCCTTATGTATCAACACTGCGTACATACTAAAAGACGGCGTACGCCAGTTTTCACATTCACGGCCAGATGTACAGTGACATTAACATAAGAATGTGCGTTCCTCCAAGTAATCTTCATGTCTGGCGTACGTACATTTGCCTTAAATTTTGTAGAGGCAAAAAAGTGAAGTGGCAAACAGTACACTACGAATTGTTCAGTCACGCCACCACCAGTTGTCAGGCACAAATCACCCCAGACCCACAAGTTTAAAAAAAAAATAGCACGATCCAACAAGTTAAGAGCTAACATCATGCTAACTAGACTCATTGTGTAGCCTGCAAAAGCACTAAAACGTGTGAAACTTTTTCAAACTTGTCTATCATTGTTCAGACTTGAAAAAAAACTTAATCGTATTAATTGTACTTGTATTTCTTGAGCTAAAATGTGCTTACCGCTCATGACATGTGTCTCTCTTCTTTGGAGGATAAGTAAAATGGCTGCCTTTTCAAAATTATGTGGTCACATGACCAATTTCTTCTATGGTTTTCCAAAAACAAGGGTTGGATCTATACTACCCCCTGGCACAAATCACCCCACTCTCCCCTATTGATGGCGGGGATCAAACATTCTTCATAGTGGAAAGCAGAGCTAAATGAATGTTATAGGGTTTCTCTGTACCCGTGGGACATATTATCGTTCTTCACGGGGCATTTTGATAAGATGCGTCTTCGAGCCTGTCAACTTCTCTATCTGTGCTGCTCCTCTGCTGAATTTTGTTCCCATACTGAGACCAAATGAACGACTGTTATTCACCCTCCGGCAACACCACGCTGTGTCTGTGTTAGCGGCTGTCAGTCTCTAGCTCTCGCGTAAAGCTGTAGCTTCTGTTTGTGCCTGAACCTGTAAATCAGTGGGCGCGCAGACATGACTTCAGTAATGGGAACACCCATATCTGTCTATATGTCTCTGTCCACCTTAACGCTGTTGTATTTGCCTCTTATCTGGAATAGTCATGCTCGGATACCCCACAACAGTGGCCACCCTCGCGCTGCCAACGGCTTTCCTATTGTGGCTCGTTCCTCTTGTTCTTCCTGTTGTTGTGAAATGGAAACAGACTACGGTGTGATGTCATCGCTCTATTCACGTGAAGATGAGTAATATCATGCCACCGTTCGGTTGAGGTTGCCCAAGTCAGACGGTACAGTTTGCCTATGTAAATTCCCCTTTATGCAAATGTCTGCCGTTTGCCTTATCACAAAGCTGGCCAAGGGAGAGCTCCCTATTGAAGGGGGAGGAACTGCCTAAAGCTTTTTTACAAAACTCTGTGTGAGGCATTAACAAAACACAAATGCAAATTTTTCATGGGTCTCAGCTGGAGAGTCCAAATGTGCCTCAGAATGTGCACAGTGGGCCGCCCTGTGTAAACAATATAAATAAATGCTCTTGATAAATGTTCTCACCACTGGCGAAACCGGCCTGTGACAACCACACAAAACAGAATACAGGACTGGAGCATCCAAGTAGGAAGCAATTAAATCCTGTGTCCCGCTGGGCGGATGGAAAGTCGCCCTTTACAATAAAGAGACAGGGAATGAAGAGAGAAGATACCACTAAATGTAAATGCCATGGCAACCTTGAGCAGGAGCGACGCAATGTTTCCCTAAATGGATTGCATGGCATTCCGAGACAGGCAGTCTGAGATCTGTAAATATTCCGTTGGAATGTTCTACTCTGGCTTCTGTTATATTTGAACATCATAACAGTAATGTGCTAAGGCCTACTTTGTAGCTTTGTTCAAAATTAAAGAGGTTGTTGATTGCGATTTCTCTTTTTTTCATTTTAAATAGTGTGTAATGTTGCTGTTGGTGCATGAACTGTATCTGCAAAGTTGCAGCGCTGAAAGTTCAGAGATATCGTCTTTTAAAAATCAGCAAGTTTAATGCCTACAAAAACGACTCGAATGGGACTACAACGGGTTTTAGACGTCTCTAACCCATACATTTGCATCAACCCTCCCTCCGGAATATGCTCGTTCAAATGACAGAGGAGAAAGCGGCTTACAATAAGGTTGAAATTTATGAAAAATAAGACTTTAAAAAAAAGAAAAACTATCAATACATGTTATATTGCACCCCATAAACACAATCATGCAAAGAAAAAAAGCAGTAAAACCACCCTTAAACAAAATGCAATATAATGGCCTTTAACTTATATTTTAGACCTGAACAAAAAAGAAGATATTTCAAAGAAGATGGATAACCAACGGCTGATGATTTACAAAGTATGGGAAAATACAGGCTGCTATGGAATTTAGTGGGTGAACTAGCTTTAAATATGCCAACCAAGCTTAGACGACATAAGGTCACTTCAGCTGATGACGATTTGAAGTGTAACCATCGAGTCATGAAGGATATTCCAATATACAAATGAGCTTTACTTCAAATCCTCATTTTCTTCCTTACATCCTTCCCTTGAATCCTAAGGGTGGAGCTGAGACGTGAAGAAAGGAAAGAAGGATGCACAAATAAGCATGACAAGCACCCCATATGCCTAGTCTGACTCAAAATGTAATTTTCAAATGAAGAAATCTAGACCAGCTCCGAACAGTTGAACTTGTCAGTCTTTAGAGCCGATTCTTTTCAGTGAACCGGTTCATTGCACTGATGCAATAACAACTCACTGATTCAACGATCCGCTTAGAGCACGTCTCTTTAACGAATCACTGAACCAGGAGTAATATGAACCTTAAGCTTGATTGCACTGATTATTAATTCATTTTATGACAGTTCTTTTTGAGCAAGAGAATGTAGAATAGCAAATGAATAAAAAATAAATCAATGAACGATAGTTCTATAGGTATTTGCACGCATTTATACGCAAATCAGTCATTTCATCAATCTTTCTTCAACTCAAGTAGCTACAGGATTTGTATACTTGGTCCACCACTGTCCATTCTCAATGCAATGCAAATTCAAATCATAAATGCAGTTACAGTCCCTGAAGGGCCTCACACGTACAGACGCCCAGAACTCAATCCAATATCATCGGGGAGGACATGGTGTTTTCCTTGAGCAACCTTGGTTAAAAGCGTTCACGTCTTTCATTTAAATCTTTCCCATATACTGAAGATCACCTTGCCTCAAGCAAAGACTCACTCATTCAGAAAAATGCCTTAGATGAAAAAATACCTCTCTTTTCCTTTCATTTTGTTCTTTTTTTTTTTGGCCTTTTGGCATGCATTGAAGACGGGAATATGCGATTGAGGACTTTTACTTCAAAAAGACTGCCTGTTTCAAAAATATAAATTTTCAGTACGCATTTTTCAGCAGGGGAGACATGGCATAGATAGACTGATGCCAGAAAGCAAGACAGCTTAGAGGAAGATTCATCTTGTTCATCCATGACCTTTGCTGCTGTGTGTGCTCTGATTCACAGATTATATTCAAACTGACATATAAAGTTCAGAGTCAACAATGCTGCAAAACAAACTCTTGAAGGATTAGGCAGGTATATTGTGACGCTGTGCTAAACTGCAGTATATTACTTGGACTTTTGAGTTTTTAGAAGTATTAACCAAGCAGAACAAAATCTATAAAAAGGATTTTCTTGTAGCGAATGGATTTTCATGATTTATAACTTGAGCTATGACGGAAAAAAAACGAAAAAAAAAAAACGATAGAAAAGTTCTTGGAACTGATGTGTCTGGTTATTTAGTGCCATTTCTGAGTTCTAGAAGTTTGTGGGCTTCAGCATCAGTGATTCTCATGAGCTGCCTCATGGGAAAAAAGTCACCAAGTCAGCTTCTCTTACAGAGTAACCCTTAACACACTTCTGTACTCTGAAAACTGAAATCAGTGTTGTTCTTCCTGTCGGACATGTTTTATCCTCCACTCTAACAGATAGGTGTGCACTTAAGCCACATACAAAATAAAGTGCTTTTGGGAAGATTTTAAACATTCATGATGTCAAGATGGAGTAAGCAAAGGGAGCTGGGGGGTTATTGGTACGTTACAAACAGCAAGCTTTTGCACATCAGTCACTCTGCTTTGAACGAAATGTGTGTGCGTGTGTGTGAGGCATCACACAATGGCTGATCAGCAAAGACGGCTTGGCATTGCGGCCGCTTCATTTCCAATTACACGCGTTGTTGGCAAGGCAACCAGGTCACCCTCGGGAGACGACAAACAAAGTTACCTTCAGCTGCCTTGGACAAGATTTGAATCCTCCCTACGTGCTCCTGTGGCCCAGAAAGAGAAAGAGATTTGTCATTATAGTCAGATGTCTAAAGTTTTAGTTTCTGAGTTCTTCTGCTGACTCACGATACAATGTAAATGTCTTCTCATGATGACTGATGTAAAAACAGAAATTTTGCAGGTAACTTGCAATTTTATGTTTCAACCACAGATGGCGATAGAGAATTTGCAGTTCCGTAGTGCAGCGTTTTGTCATTCTGGCTTCTATTTAACCCAGACAATTATATGGCTACTCTACCAAATTATGTGGACATCAATCCTTTTGTGCTTTTTAAATGTTTATGGACACTATATTATGAATGTAGCTATACCTATTGCTGCAATAACAGCTTTTATTCTTATTAAGGCTTTCTGGTAGGTCCTAGAACATTAGCCTACTTTGGATATTGGTCAGGTTCTGACGCACTGGGCTGGTATTTTACTACAAAGTTTGTCGATAGCATGGCTACATTTTATGAATGTATGTTAGCAATGTTTGTAGCTGCAATTGCCAATCCTGTTAAGTATGAATGGTTTCTACTTTTGGAAATGTAGTGTGTGTCACTTTTTTTCCTATTTTACAATTTCAGCCCCTCTGGCTCCCCCTAAAACCGCTTAAAAAGCATGTTGAACAGCAAATGGAGATAGATCAAAAGAATTTATTAAGGCTTACAAGTAGCCTTTGATGCCCTAGTTCATTATTGCGACTTGTTAGGGACAAATGTAGGGCGGACCTAAAGCAGAGCCCAGAGGCACTCCAGATTCAGCGGTGTAGCCTATCTAGGTACATCATACTGAATCTAAAGGAGTAATAAGAAGCATCAAGGGGGCTAAAGAGGCATATGCACCCATTTAGGACACTTCAGTTACGGTTACAGTACCAAACACACAAAAGATTCAATTCAGTATATGATTAGGCTTGATGCTGATTCGCCAGCTAAATGTGGTTTTTCAGTCTCTAATCAAGTGTTGTGGTTGTTTTATGATATGTAACACAAGGAATTGCTTTGCTATTTGCACTAGAATCAAATTTATCTAAAGCATATTTCTTATGGCACATGCGGATAGCTGCAATCTGTGAGTTCACATCTGTCATTTATCTTGATGCCAAGCAGTCAAGCTTTCTAATCACAGGAGTGTTTGATTTCTTTCCCAGAGGCAGTGCGATTGACTCACTCAGCAGTTTTCCTCAAAGTTGTGGTTGGACCTGAACATTTTTGCTGAGCCTTCTTGGTGGCACTGTTATGTGAAGAATACCACAGAAGTACTGGACTATAAAGCACCACACTGCAAAACACTCAGTGTAATACAAACTGATTGTGAGTAAAACCTCATGTTTGCGGTCTGAGAATAATGTGTGATTATTATGCTTTTATCTTCTCAATTTGTGCAATAATCTATGACTTGCAGTCATGCTTAAATAATTGCAACTCCAATTTTCCCCAGAAATTCACAACAAGAACATCATGGCTTGCCTGACATCACTAATACATTCAAGCTATGACACATAAATGGTGTGCATCAGCTGACATTCACTGACCTTCACCTGAACCCTGAGGCAAGACCAGAACAGTGTCTTTTTAATGATGTTAATAATGGAACATGCATGTATGTGTGCTCAACCATACACGGTTAAAACAGGAATTCATATGCATGAGAAAACGTAATGCCATGCAAAAGTCTCTGACTTGAAAATATTCTGACTTGTATCTCCAATCAAATTCCAATAAAAACTTCCACCTCTTTTGGTAGCT